TAGAATTACTCCTTGTCTGTGTACCTGGTGAGGCAGTTGACTGCAGGGACCCTTCTACAAAAACTCAGAGCAAAGGGCATCCGGAACCCAGACCACTCCCGGGCACTGAGTGAGTAGCATCCTGCCCTCTTCCCCACTCTCATCTGGATCCAAGTCTTCCTGGCTCTCTAGCCTTTTTAATCAAACCCATACCCCTCTTAGGACAATTTTCCTCACCTTTCACATTTACCTCAACCCTCCCCTTATCTGCCTTGCCAATCACAGTGGTTGAGAAGTTGGATCATTCCCAGGCACTGAGTGACACTCTTGGGTTCCCAGTTAGACATCTGATTTGTACTTCCCAGACCTTAACTCTGAGTCCACTGGCATACGGGTTCTCCAGACCGGAAAGACTCTTAAGGATCATCCACTCTAACCCTCTTGTGATGCTTCAATTCCCTCTGGGTCATCTCTGCCAAAGTGTCACCCAGCTGTATTTAAGTGTCTTCAGGGATGGAGAAATCTCCCCCACCCACCCATTTACCCACCCAGCCTTCATAATCCATATGCCACATCACCCCCACTGATAGCCCAGTGGCCCCCAAAGGCTCTCTACCTAGCTGCCTTTCAGCAGAGCCATCTGCTTCTAAACCCCTCATCCCTCCCAGGCTTCCTCTCCAGCCTTGCTTATGCCATGGCTCTGCCTTCACTCTTATTTCAGTCAAGGAGAAATTGACCGCTGATCCGGACAGTGAGGTGGCCACTACAAGTCTCCGGGTGTCACTCATATGCCCGGTGGGTACAAGGGAGAAGAGAAGAGGGGGGAGGGCTCCTAGGGCTACTAGAGAGGCTTTCCGGGGCGTGGGGACTCTGACCAGAGGACTCGTCCCTCTACAGCTAGGGAAGATGCGCCTTGCTGTCCCTTGTCGTGCCCTCACCTGCGCCCACCTGCAGAGCTTCGATGCTGCCCTGTATCTACAGATGAATGAGAAGAAGCCAACGTGGACATGTCCTGTGTGTGACAAGAAGGCTCCTTATGAATCTCTTATCATCGATGGGTAGGGCCACTCTGCATTCTGCCTTGTCTTACCTAGGAAAGCCACTAGATCTCGGTCTCTCCCTCTCATGTGTGTGAGTGTGTGTGTATAGATATGTATATATGTGTGTGTATGTATACATGTATATATGTATTTTGTCTCCTTTGTAATATATACATATATATTTCCAACACTGAAGACTTACTATATGCTAGACATGGTGCTGAGCACTTTGCATACCTTATCTCACTGAACCCTCATAATAACTCTATGACATAGGTACTGTCATTATAAGAGAGGAAACTGAGCCCTTGAGAGATTGAGTATTTTGCCCAGAGTTATATTGTTAGTAAGTGGCAGAGCTACTGTATCAAACTATTACATCGCTTATAGCAACTCCCTAACCTCTCCCTGAGCACAGAAGTAAAGTTCTTTTGAGGCCTGGATATGCTGATCTAGCTATTTCTAACCCCATTCCAGAGCCTACACTATGGTTCTCGTTCCCACTGCCCTTTTTAAGATCGTTTATGGGGTTCTGTATCTCTGCTCCTTGTTTTGTCTCTAGTACTATGTGAAATAGGTGCTTAAAATATATTTATTTTAAAACTCAGCGTTTAAAGTTTGCAAAGTTCTTTTACATACTGTACTTGATTCTAACACCTCAGTTCAGGAGGGTAGAAAATATCCCTATTTTACAGATGAGGAAGCTGAGGTTCAGGAGGGTGAGTCAGAATTCCCTGGTTATCGTCCCTGCCATCTCCCAGCCCCATGAATTCCCTTCTCTCCTCCCCAGTTTATTCATGGAGATTCTTAATTCCTGCTCGGATTGTGATGAGATCCAGTTCATGGAAGATGGATCCTGGTGCCCAATGAAACCCAAGAAGGAGTCATCTGAGGTTTGCCCCCCGCCAGGGTATGGGCTGGATGGTGAGTGATCCCCTGTCCCTCAGCTAAGCTAAGTCTTGAATGGCCTCTTCTCTGAGACACAGTCTTCTTACCACCCACAGGCCTCCAGTACAGCCCAGTCCAAGAGGGCACTCCGTCAGAGAATAAGAAGAAGGTTGAAGTTATTGACCTGACAATAGAAAGCTCATCAGATGAGGAGGACCTGCCACCGACGAAGAAGCACTGTCCCGTCACCTCAGCTGCCATCCCGGCCCTACCTGGGAGCAAAGGGTATGAGGAGAAATAGTCTGAATCTATAGCAGAAGGGACAGAGGGAACAGTCAGGAAAGCTTTCCGGTCCCTGGGCAAACACTGGTGTAGAGAGGGACTCCGGAGACAGCTGGGTGAGGGCACCTGGTGAGCTGGCTGCCCCAGCTCCTTGTCTCTCCTCACAGGGTCCTGACCTCTGGTCACCAGCCATCTTCAGTGCTGCGGAGCCCTGCTATGGGAACGCTGGGTGGAGATTTCCTGTCCAGTCTCCCACTACACGAGTACCCACCTGCCTTCCCACTGGGGGCGGATATCCAAGGTAGGACACTGGTCACAAAGTGGGGCCCTACACTGTCACACCCTCCCCAGAACCAGATCAGAACCCCTGCTCCTTTTCAAAGCTTTCTGAGTCTTTGCAAAGGCCCACAATCCAAGGAACTTCTTTTTGTTTTTGTTTTTTTTTGCAGTGAAAGGGTCAGACAGGAAGTTGATTTTAATTTTTTTCTTACCAGGTTTAGATTTATTTTCTTTCCTTCAGACCGAAAGTCAGGTAAGTGATCTCTTCTCCTATGAAGATCTCAGATCTGAAGCTTCCTTTCTAGGCACTGTTGGGCACCCCCCTTTCATTTTCCCTGTAGACTTAACTCTGCTTCTCTGTGAGGGAAGGGGGGATGGTACAGGCAGTTTATTTCCCTCCAAGGCCCCACTAGTACTTGCTCAGATTCTCACCTGTGTCTTCCCTGGTCCCTGTTACTGTTCTGTCTCCAGAGATTTAGTGTGGTTCTGCCCCTCGCCTGCTCACTCCCTGCTCACTCCCAACGCGCATGTGCTCTTGAGCACCGTGCCTTCCTGAACTGGAGATCCCACACATTTTAGATGCCCACAAGGCTAAGAAAATAGCAATCTGGAGGGGATGTCCCAAAGCAGGGAATCAGGGTGGGTGTGGGGAAATAGGGAAAGAATCAGAGAGGGGCTCTCATGGGATCCAGGAGGGCTGGTATTTCTGAGATGAGTGATGGGGAGGCAGGTAAAGAAAGGATAAAATCTTAAACTGTGCCCTTGGTTCCTCCCAGCACTATGGTCCCTCCGTCATCACCTCGCTAGATGAACAGGATGCCCTTGGCCACTTCTTCCAGTACCGAGGGACCCCTTCCCACTTCCTGGGCCCACTAGCCCCCACATTGGGGAGCTCTCACCGCAGCACCACTCCAGCACCCCCTCCTGGCCGTGTCAGTAGCATTGTGGCTCCTGGGGGGACCCTGAGGGAGGGGCACGGAGGACCCCTGCCCCCAGGTTCCTCTTTGACTGGCTGCCGGTCAGATATCATTTCCCTGGACTGAGTCCCCTGGATTATGGAATCTTCACTGTCTCCCAAAGCTGAGCAAGTATGCTGTGGAGTCCAGACCCCTGGCCACTCTGCCTTCTTAGGGGGGCTTTGGCCAAAGGCAAGAAAGACCTTCACGGACACTGTTTTTTGGCCTCATCTCTGCCTGACAAGGCCAGCACCCAAAGGGTTAATATTTAACCTCTTTTTAAGGACATTTTGGGTTCTATTTTTTGAAGTGTTCTTTAGATGGCTGGCACATTCTTTAGATGGCTGGGTATGTTAACTTAGGCAGTGGGGAAGCAAATGGGATGGGATGTGAGTTGGAGGAAGGGCTGAATTCTCAGCCTTGACTACCTAGAGCCATATGGGGAAGGGCCCTTCTGTTGTCACCTAGATGCCCTCTTTCCAGTCTCCAAATCCATGGCTCAATTCCATCCCCATAGTCATTGTCTCTTTATGTCCATCCCGTTCTCTTTGGCCAAACAGACAGGTGGAGAAACTGAGATAGACAGACACGTGGACAGAGAACTCTATTTTGGGTTACAGATTTTTTTGTACATAAACAAGGAAAACCAAAATACATCCAAAGATGACTTCCCCTGTCTCCTACTTCCCAGTATGCCCGAGGAGGAGATAAGGCCTCAGCCCTGATCCCCAGGGGTTTGGGAGCAGGGCCTGGCCTATTGCCTGGGCTCTTTCTATTTATATATTTAAGTTCACAATGTTTCTTACACTGACCAGCACAGGGCCTGAGCCTCTAGAGCAGCGGTTGTCAACCTGTGGGTCATGACCCCTTTGGGGGTCCAATGACCCTTTTGCAGGGGTCGCCTAAGACCATCGGAAAACACATATTTCCGATGGGGATTCATAACACCATTCATCAGCAAAATTACAGTTATGAAGCAGCAATGAAAATAATTTTATGGTTGGGGGTCACCACAACATGAGGAGCTGTATTAAAGGGTCGTGGCATTAGGAAGGTTGAGAACCACTGCTCTAGAGTCTAAAGGCCCGTGGCCCTGTGGTGAGGTCTGCCTCATTCTGCACCTTTCCTGGGAGGTGGGAGGACCCTTGTGCTGTCCCCAATCTTGTTTCAGGCCCTTCCAGGGCCTAGAATCTCTGTTGTAATTTTACTTTTTATTCCCAAAGTTGTGGCAAAGTTCTTACTCATAATAAAGGTTGTGAATCTTCTATGTCATGGAGGTGGGCTGGGGAGGGGATTATGCACTTGGCTTTCCAGATCCCTGGTTTGGGGGGAGGCAGTCCATGTTCTGTTCTTCCTTTGCAGGCCCAGGGCCCACATGAGCTCCAGTTTCACATAGTAGGGGTGTCACACTGAGGATTTCCCCCCTGCCCCCACATGCCCACTAGTGCATTCAGCCCAGGACTGTGGAGCACTCCCGCCTTCCTCACCCTTTCCTGCCCAGGTGATGCAGCCAGAGCCTGAGGGCAGACTTGGTCCCAGTGCTGACACTGTTTGCCTTCTGCGGTGGTTGGGGTCGTCACAGCAGTGTGGTCATGGGCAAGGCCCGAGGTTGAGCTCTTCCGTCTTCCTCTAGTTCCACTGCGCTGCATAATGACAACTATCTGAGGTGTGTCTTGTGGCTTAGCTCAATTCCATATCCATTAAGTCATCCAATCCTCCCAGCCACCGCAGGAGAGGGGTGGGTGGGTGTTAGTTCATTTTTCAGAAAGGAAACAGGTTCAGGAGGTTGTAATGACTTGCCCTGGGAGAGTGGGACACAAACCTAGGTCTTCAGGGCTAGCCAGTCAGAGCAGCAACCCTTGGAGTGTGATGGGCAATGCCTTGACCTCATGTATTCTCTTCATTACCTGCTGACCAACTCGCTCTCTAAATCTCTCCCACCACACAAACCCTCCTCCCTCTCCCCTGGGAGGAGATAGAAGCTGAATTTCTCAATGTGTATGTGTTGGTGTGTTGGAGGGTCAAGGAGAAGCTCTTACAGGACAGAGGGCGGTAGGTAGGTCCTGGGAGAGATGTCTGGGTATCTGTCCCATCCTCTATGGTAACCCCTGCAGGTGCTGCATCTGGGCCCAGCCATAGAAAGGCGCTCACCTCACTTGGGTTTGGTTGGATCCAGGCCTGGGGACAGACATGTTGATTTCTTTATCATGGCCCCTATCAGGAGGCCTGTTCTGATCACAACCTACCCACAGATGGAATGGAGAGAAGCTTGGGGCAGGGGGGAAGGCTTTCTCTGACCCCCACCCCCCACCCCTTAGTCACAGTGAAAACCAGTCTGCTTGGGCCTCTTGAGCCCTCCTATCCTTCCTCCACTGCCAGCCCTACCTGCAGCTGCTCCTGTGACTCCTGGGAGACCACAAGTAGATAATGAGGGGGTGGTATTTGGGGAGACCCCAGATCAGCCTAGCAGGGTAGGCAGACTAAGAAGAAAATGGCAAAAACGAGAACTTCCTGTCTCTTTCTGAGACTGCGTAAATACAGCTGAGGAAGTGGAGGGTGGAGATGGTGCAGGAGGGACTCAGGTGAGGATTGGGGCTTGGGAACTCCAAACCACCCACTCGGCGTTGTTTTCCCTGTGGCCAAAGGCAGGTAAGGCTGTTCTATGGGCTTTGGTGGGGCAGAAGTTGTTGAGGGTTCTTGGTTAAATAGGGAGGTCCCTGTCTCACCTCCCATAACCCCAGAGAGACCCAGGAGAACACCCTGGGGCAGCTGGAGTCCACTCTCTCCCCAAAGTTGTTGAAGCCCTTTGTCCAACAGCAGGCAGTGAGAGGGCAAGTCAGAGAGGCCAGTGCCTGGCCTCCCAGTCCTTTGCCCCTCCCTTAGGCCACACCCGGGTGGTCCCAGATAGGTCCGTGGGTTGGGACAGCTGAATGGCTACCTCTTCATCAAGTTTTGTGTGCCCACATGCAGGAACAGTGGGCCCAATAGGTGAATGGTGGTGGTCTTGGCCAGGGACCCCCACACTGTTCATACTGCCCCCTCCAATGGGCACAGATGCAGTTGCAGCCTCGTGATGGGTTATAGGACAGACCACATTTCTGGGCCTACTCAGCCCTGAGGCTGAGTCACATGCAGGGTGAAGAGCAAGTTTCTTCCCTGGGTGGGGGCCTTGTGCTCAGGGCGCTCACCTGAGGGTACCCAGAGGTTGGGGTAAATTCTGAGGGTACATGTCTTTCGGGTCAACAAGACAGTGTAGTTGCTGGACTGGAGAATGTCGGCCACGTCCAAATCCACACCTCGATTCGTGGGCAGCGCGGTTCTGGCAGGGGCGGCTGGTGCAGGGCCGCAAAGGGGCAGAAAGGGGGTCGCCGGCAGGAGGGCCGCTTGCGCTAAGGTTTCAGCCGCAGGGCGGAGCTTTTAAAAATTAGGCGACACCGCGAGATGGGGGAGGAGACTGAGTCGGGCGATTGGTCCGGCTCCCAGGCCACCGCTGGCGCCCTCCCCTCAGCCTGGAGCGGAAGCCCGGCCGAGCCGCCCGGGAAAGGCCTCTCCAAAAAGACCTGTACTGGCTGCGAGCCGCAGTGTGCGGGCCACGGCCCGAGCCCTGCCCCGGCGCCCAGGAGGCCACACACTCCGCGAAGCTCACCGACTCCGGGCGCCCAGAAAGGAGGGCAGCACTCCATCGCTGCCATAACGTGGCTCTAGTTCACTGCGTAGCGCTGGCGCCCTCTGGTGGCCCAGCAGCGCCTTCCCTGAGTCCCAGGGGTCGGGAGAAGCCAGGCTTCCCCAGTCCCCAGAACATTCCTTTCGGGGATGACCCGTGGGTGTAATGCTAATAAATGACAAAGGAGATCACCTCTAAATCTTCAGCTCTTCTTTTCTTCCCATTCTGGTTAAGACAGTGACCCTCATATGAATGATCCTGGACTACCATGTCCTCTCCCACCAGCCATGGGCTGAACTATAAGCACCCCTCTACAACACTGCACACCTGTTACCGCAGGTACCGCCTCAAATTAATTACATCTGTCTCCTAACCAGATACTCAAGGAACATTTTTGACACCTCCCCTTTCTTTCGCCTCAATTTTGGCAGGATTCATGCCTTTCCTCTCCAGTCATATCCTATTTGCAGTTCCCCCACGAACCAGGCTCTGCTTCCCTTTGGGATTCTTTTCAAACTCTTCCATCTGGCAAATCCTTACCTTTCAAACTACAGAGCAAGCATCACTTTCTCTATGGCTTTACCCCCATGGCCTCTTTGTACATGATACTTTCTATTATAGCTACCCCACCCTCCTCACACTTATTTTACTTGTCTCCTCCTACTAGGCTGTACATTTAACATGTAGGTGCTCAGTAAATGATGGTGAGTAGCCTGAAGGCAGAGATGGTATCTTGTTTAGCTTTGTATATTATATCTAGTATAACGGCTAGCAATTAATCGGCACTGAAATGTTTAATGAATGAGAACCAACATTGGTAAGAGGACACTGAAGAGATTATAAAACAACACTTAACTGCTTTAAATGAACTGAAGCTGCTGTGACAAATTACATCAACTGCTACATTAATCATGGTACTGAGAGAGAAAACTTAGAATTGCTGCTTTTAAGGAACCATGAAAAAGAGGAAAGCAATGATTTATTGAGTACTTACCATATGCTGGATATTGTGCTAAGTGTTTTACACGCATAATTTTAGATGTGCTAAGAAGCCTGGAGCTGGCAATTGGGCCTCTAACCATAAATTCTAGAGTGATTGCTTGGGCCAGTCCACCTGCTAGCCCTGAAAATAGCCTTTCCCTCTACTTGGTGGTAATCTTTCATATTCCCTATGTGTATGAGTGTAAGGTTACAATGTGACAAAATAAAGAACAGGTGTAGCTTTTTGAAAATGGAATGAACTGCTTCAGAAAAAGCTTCTTACACTGCCAGGAATGTTCAAACACAGGCTGGGCTGACTTCTTGGTGGGAACTAAGTTTCTTTCTCCTGCAAAGGGGGAAAGAATGTAGTGACAGGTCGAAGACAGGATCAGCAAACTGGTGTATTCTAGGGCGTAGGGATAGAGGGTTTCAGTACAAGAATCTGTAACTTATCCCACTGCAAAGAACGCATCCAGGCACCTCCTTTATTTTTCCTTCCAAACCCTCAGATCTTTGAGGAAGACTCTTCTTCAGGGTCACTGCCTCTTCACAGTGCTCTCTATGTATGACTCCAGCAAGAAGATAGTTTCATCCACTTGGATCTCACTGGCATCCAACCTGAGTGAAAAAGTGAAAGCATTTGCCCAGACTGGACAATTATTAGCATACTTATGATTAGAGGCTGGGCTGGGTGTGGCCATGGAGAATTGCTTAATGGGTAGAAAGCAGGAGAACAAATGGATCATTCTCATTTACCGAGCATGTCTTAAATGCTAGGCACTGTGGAAGCTGCTGAGGATTCAAAAGATACTGGGAGAAACTGAAGTTTAACTTGCAACCAAGAGAAAGAATAATAGCACATGTAAAGGCAGAGGTATAAAATGACCTAGTGTGTTTTATTTTATTTATGTCTTTTTTCTATGTTTTTTGACCTAGTGTGTTTTAGAACAGAAGCTGAGAGTGGCTAAGGCTAAACTGAGTAATGATTAGGAACGGAAGGGAACTTCAACATGATTGAACCCATCTATGAAAATCCCACCGCTAACATCACACTTAATGGTGAAAGACTGAAAGCTTTCTCCTTAAGATCAAGAACAAGCCCTGGCTGGTTTGGCTCCGTGGTTAGAGCATCAGCCCATGGACCAACGAGTCATGGGTTCGATATTGGTCAAGGGCACGTACCTCGGTTGTGGTTCGTCCTGGCCCTGGTTGAGGTTGTGCAGGAGGCAGCCAGTTGATGTTGCTCTATCACATTGATGTTTCCGTCTCTCTCTCTCTCCCCCTCCCACTCTATCTGATAATAAGCAGGAAAATATCCTCGGGTGAGGAATAAAAAAAAAAAGATCAAGAACAAGACAAGGATGTCTGCTTTTATTTATTTAATATGTTTTTATTAATTTTTTAGAGAGAGAGAAAGGGAGAGAGAGATGGAAACATTGATGTGAGAGAAAAACATCAATTGGCTGCCTCCTGCATGCCCCATACTGGGGATGGAGCCCACAACCCGGGCATGTGCCCTGACTGAGAATCGAACTGGGACCTCTCAGTCTGTGGGATGATACTCAATTATCCCACATGAGCTACACTGGCCAACCTCCATTCAACCTTTTATTGGAGGTTGCAGCCAGGGCAATTAGGCAAGAAAAGGCAAGAAAAGGCATTCAGGTTGACATGATCCTATACATTGAAAAATCTCTAAGGATCTGAAAAAAAAAACAAATTTTTTTAAGTTGCAGGATATAAAATCAAAATACAAAAAATTAGTTTTAGCCCTGGTTGGTGTGACTCAGTTGGTTGGAGCATCATCCCGTATACCAAAAGTGGTGGGTTCAATTCCCAGTCAGGGTGCATATCCAGGTTGAGGGTTCTATCCCGTCAGGGCGTGTGCAGGAGGCAACCAGTTGGGTGTCTCTCCCCTTCTCTAAAAATCAATTTAATATGTTTTTTTTAATTGATTTTTTTTTTTAAGAAAGAAAGGAAGAGAGAGAGAAACATTGATGTGAGAGAGAAATATTGATCGGCTGCCTCCTGCATGCCCCCTGACTGGGAATAGTACCAGGACTTCTCAGTCCATGGGATGATGAACAATCCACTGAACCACACTGGCTGGGCCAAAAATCAATTTAAAATATCCAATATTTTAGCCCTGGCTGGTGTGGCTCAGCAGTTAAGAGTGTCAGCCTATGGACTGAAGGGTCTCAGGTTTGATCCCTAGTCAAGGACACATACCTAGGTTGCAGGTTCATCCCGGGCTCCAGGCGGGGCACATGCGGGAGGCAACCAATTGATGTGTCTCCCCAACATCGATTTTTATCCCTCTCTCTTCCTGCCTCCCTCTTTCCCTTCCACTCTCTCTAAAAGCAATGGAAAAAATATCCTCAGGTGAGGATTACCAAAAAGAAAAAAAAAATTTTTTTTAAATCTAATGCTTAAAAAAAAGTTTTATTCCTATACACTAGCAATTTACAATTTAAAACTGAAAATAAGAAAACACTAAAACAGCATCAAAAAATAATAAAATACTTAGAAATCAATTTAACAAAAGAAGTGCAGGACTTGAAAGGAAAACGACAAAACATCATTGAAAGAAGTTAAAGAAGACCTATATAAATGGAAAGCCTCCCGTATTCACGGGTAGGAAGGTTTAATATTGTTCGGATGGCAATACTCCCCAAAGTGATCTACAGATTCAAAGCAATCCCTATTAAGGTGAACGGTGAGGAATAAAAGGAAATGATGTTGGAGAAATAGGCTGCTATGAAATTGTAAAAGGTCCTAAATGTCATGCCAAGGAGTCTGGTCTTTATACTATAAATATAGGAGTCAATAAAGCCTTTAAACCAAGAGAGTGAGCCCTGGCCAGTGTGGCTCAGTTGGGTGGGCATCATCCCATGCGTTGAGAGGTTGCCTGTTCCATTTCATTCCCAGTAAGGGCACATGCCTGGGTTGTAGGCTTGATCCCCAGTAGCGGCGTGCAGAAGGCAGCTTATCAATGTTTGTCCCTCTTTCTCTCCCTCCCTTCCTCTTTCTTCCTCCTCTCTCTCGCAAATGAAAAAAAAAAAAATCAATAAAACATATTTTTTAAAAAAGTAGGAGAGTGATATTATCAATCATTTTAAAGATAATAACTTTGAGAGGATTACAAGAGATAGTCTGAAGGGGAAAGTGACTGTGAAGATCTAGGAAAGGTGATGAGGCCTGCATGGGGACCAGGCCAGACTTGAGCCCTGGCCGGTTTGGCTCAGCGGTTAGAGCGTTGACCTGCGGTCCTGAGAGACCCGGGTTTGGTTCCCGCTAAGGGCGTGTACCTCAGTTGCCGTTTGTCCCTGGCTCTGGTCGATCGTGCGGGTGGCAGCCACTCGATGTGTTCCTTTCACATCGATGTTTCTCTCTCTCTCTCTCTCTGTTCCTCTCTCTCCCTTCCACTCTACCTGAACAAAAAAATGGGAAAATGTCCTCAGGTGAGGATAAAAGAAAAAAAAAAAAAAGGCCAGACTTGAGACACACTACTGAAGTAAAATCAACAACCTTGGTGAACAAGAGTGTGTGGTGAGGGAGAAGAACTTGAGGATGTCTTCAAAGTTTTCAGTTTAGGGAAATAGGTGGATTACATTCTGTTAATAGAGCTGGAAAAGAAGATAGCAAGTTTAGGTATGTTTGTGTTAACTTGGAGAGATGGACTTGTAGGACATTTTGAAACAGGTTTGAAGTGTATGATGCTTACTTGTTGACGTTACGTTTCAGAGTCTCTAGCTGGACTTGTAGGACATTTTGAAACAGGTTTGAAGTGTATGATGCTTACTTGTTGACGTTACGTTTCAGAGTCTCTAGCTGCTGGCGTTCAGGGGCTGTGATCATCTCCTCTATCTCTTGTAGCTGTGCCTCCTCTGCACCTGTAGCCTGCATAGACGCAATGATGGCTTCTACCCTCTGAGACTTTTCTAGTAGACGCCTGTCAGACAGACACAACTCTGAGGCTTGTCCCTCAGCTATGGAGTCTTTTACCCATTAGCCCTGGGGTATAACTCCCCCTTTACCACGTTCCTGGTCAAAGTGGATAATGTCACCCTTCAAGGACATTTTCTACAAACTTAATTAGAAATGTGACTTCACTCCTGAAACTTATTGCCTTTCATTTGCACTTTAAGTTTCATGCCAGTTTGTACATTTCTCATAAATTTAATCTATAAATGATTTCACTGGGGGTATGTTAGAAAAGTATAGACCAATACATGATTTATGCCAATCTAAGCAAACAACTTGATACAACTAGATTGGTTATTGTCTCTTAGTTTCCATTTCTATAGGAAATTTCCCCTCAAGCCTTTGACCTTGAAAACATGTGATTACTACACTAAAATGCTACTCACTTGTTCTCCTTGGTTTCAAATTGCCGCCTTTCTATCAAGTTGGCTATGCTCTGAGGAGAGAAGACAAAAAATGCACACAGTTCTACTTAGTAGCTCAGGTAAATTGGTTACAGGGGACCTGAGGGTAAAACTAGTCTTTGTGGAGGGTATGGAAAGAAGGTCCAGGAGTTACCTTGTAGCATCTGTGCAGCAACATGCGGGCAGCTGACAGGATGTTCACAGTATATAAATAGAAGGT